TATCTAGACTGATGGAACAAACTGATGGAAATGTGGTATCTAGTCTGATTTTTGACGAGTCTCCTGATGTTTTGGATTGTCCAATTCTTGGCCTTTTGTTTTGATTTCAAAGTGAATAAACCCAAAATAAAACTTGTTTTGTGCTGATGTGACATTCATCCTCTCTGCTGATAGCCATTTTGTCAATGCAGCAATAACTTACATGTTTGATATGTACCAACTAACTTGGGAAAATCTGGCTACAACTAACAGATTCTGCTTCCTACATGGCTAAATTTGCACAGGAGATTAAACTCAATCAGAAACTGGAGCTGCTTTGTACTACCTGCCCTGCTCACCTAATTAGTGTTGCACTGTCAGTAGCTACTGGTACAGAAGAAATGAAAGACGTGAAATCTTGCATCATTGGATTTGGAGCCATTTTCAAGCATGCAAGCAAGTTTAAGGCTTTGTTTTACACAGTGTGAGATGAGTGCAAAGCCGACTGCCGACTACTTCTGGTGTACCACATAGGTGAATGAGCTTGTACTTCACTGCCTGTCTTGTAAATAATGCATGGACTGTGCTAATATGTCTCCTGGAGCATCCTGAGTTTGTTGGTTCTAAAGCAGAAACTCTGAAGAGACTTGCAAATAACCAAAATGACCACCAGATTCTGTGCACCAAGGTAACATTCATTGTTGAAAACTTGGAATCACCATGTGACACACAGAAAACATTGGCGTTTTCTCTGATTACTGCCAAAATGTTTGCCAATTCAGATGTTTTCCGGATCCTGACAACCAAAATCTCAGCTGAAATGAGCACAACAGCTTCAAGAGAAACATACTGTGAGAAAACACAGCTGTTTTTGCAAATCCTTATGACCCGAGAACACAAGAAAACCAAAAAAGCATTCAAAACCAATGCTCACAAGAAATGGGAGATGACTGTAGCCCATTAACTGATCCCCAAAATGTTTGGTGCCAAAGATTATTTTTGGACTGTCATCCAGGTGTTGCACCCCTTTCTCAAGGTGAATTTTGCAGCAGACTATTATTATTATTATGACTGTTATTCCAGAATGTTTCAACTATTTGCCACTAAAGATGAAATCTCAAATCTGAACATGCCTAACCCTGATAATATGAAGCTAGATGTGCTGGCTTTTTGGACCAGTCATCAAAACACACTTCCCATCTCCAGCAAATTGGCAAGGTGAGCTTTGGGTGTACCCCCTAGATCTATTGATGAGGAGCACTTATTTTCAAAGTTGGACTACCTCCAAGACAGCAAGAGGCTCTATATGAGTGAGGATACTTTGAAGAAAATTATGCAAGCATATACAAACCAGGATTTCTGGAAATACTACTAGCTCAGAGAGAAAAAATACCTTTGTACATTAAAAAAAGGTTTCAATTATACTGTAGTAAAATGTGTATATTACGAAAAGTCCCCATCTCTCCTCCCCCCCCCCCCCCCCCCCCCCCCGAATTTTTTAATTCTTGTTTTAACCTGATTTCGTCCTGGTTTTAATGTTTGGAAAATAAACACTGACAAATTCCCAGAATGTTTTTACAAATAAAAACTGAAAATGCAGAACACTACATCTAGACCACCAGGACAAGCAGAGGCATGAGATATGGATGCAATTACTTGTGCCCTGGTTATATCATCTTGAGCTCCTACATTTAGTGCACACAATCCTTTGTGCAGGACACCTTGGGAAGGATAAGACAAAGTCTAGGATCCTGACCCAATACTTTTGCCCAGGGTCCTTAAAGAAGTTGAGAATTTATGTGCGTCATGCCCCAAATGACAACTAGTGGTCACCAAAGGAGTCCCATGGACTCTACTAGTACCCTTTCCCTTGATGGAGATCTTCTTTGCATGAACAATAATCATTCTTATATGCCCCCTAGAGAAGAGTACCTCTGGACACCAGCATATCCTTGTTATCATGGACTTGGTCACCCAATAGCCGGAAGTTATATCATTCCAGACAACGAATGACAAGACTATCACTAATGAGCTGCTGAAGGTCTTTGCCTGGGTAAGGATTCCCAAAGAGCACCTGATGGACCAGGGAACAGGTTTTACAATCTGGCTGATAAGAGAGTTCTGTGGCCTACTAAAAGTCAAAGCATTATACACATCTGTAGGGTCCTACCAATTTCACAGTCGTAGGGTTTTAAAAATCACAAATTTCATGATTTCAGCCATTTAAATCTGAAATTTCATGGTGTTGTAATTGTAGGGGTCCTGACCCAAAAAGGAGTTGTGGGGGGAGGTCGCAAGGTTCTTGTAGGGGGGATTGCAGTACTGGTATCCTTACTTCTGCGCTGCTGCTGGTGGCGGCGGCGCCGCCTTCAGAGCTGGGCAGCTGGGGAGCAACAGCTGCTGGCCGGGAGCCCAGCTCTGAAGGCAGAGCCACTGCGAGCAGCAGCGCAGAAGTAAGGATGGCATGGTATGGTATTGCCATTCTTCAGCGCTGCTGCCTGCAGAGCTGGGACCTCAGTCAGCAGCTGCCACTCTCCGGCCACCCAGCTGTGAAGGCAGCAGGGAAGAAGTAAGGATGACAAGGTATGGCATTGCCACCCTTACTTCTGTGCTGCTGCTATTGGGGCACTGCCTTCAGAACTGGGTGTCCGGCCAACAGCCACGGCTCTCTGGCCGCCCAGCTCTGAAGTCAGCGCAGAAGTAAGGGTGGCAATACTACAACCTCCCAAAAATAGCCTTGTGACCCTCTGCAATTCCCTTTTGGGTCAGGACCCCCAATATGAGAAACGCTGGTCTCCCCCATGAAATCTGTATAGTATAGGGTAAAAGCACACAAAAGACCAGATTTCACAGGGGGAGACCAGATTTCACGGTCCGTGACGCATTTTTCATGGCCGTGAATTTGGTAGGGCCCCTACACATCTGTGTACCATCCATAGACAGAGAGCCTAGTGGAAAGACTTAATCAGATGGTAAAGAGAAAGCTCAAGAAATTCATTATCCAAGACTCATAACATTGGGACCAACTATTCCTGACTCTACTCTTCTCCATTAAGGAAGTATCACAAGTTTTGACTGCATTTTCACCACTGCAAGTGCTATATGGGCAACCGCCAAGAGGTATACTAGATCTGGTGTGAGAGACATGGGAAAGCCAGGCTCCAAGAACCAAAAACCTTGTACAATATGTCTTAAAGTTACATGAGAGACAGGAAGCTACGGGGTTGTATGCTAGAGGAAGGAACACACGTACAAAAACAGTCACATTATAATAAAGGGGCATGACTATGTGCCTTCCAGTCCAGGAACAGAGTTGTATTGCTTCTTCCAATCTCTGAATCAAAGCTGATCGCCAAGTGGCAAGGCCCTTATGAGATGGTAAAGGAGGTAGGAACTGCAAACTATTTAATCAGACAAAAGGGGAGAATGGGGGGAAGGAATGACAAATTGACCATGTAAATTTGCTGAAGCCAGGGAAAGCCACTTCATCATGCCATATGCTGAGGAACTGGGACCCCAAATTAGAGATTGCCTGAAAGAAAGCTCAGTGCCCCTCCGAGAGAACCTAAACCAGAAGCAAAAAAACCAGGCACTCCAATTGGTGGCCACTTTTACAAAGATATTCTCAGCCCACCCTGGGAAGATATCCATGGGCCACAATCACATTAATATGAAACCCAGTACAGTAATACAGGAAAGCTGCAACCAATTCCCCCCAAAATTGAGGAGGGCTATCAAGAAAGAGCTCAAGGTCATGTCAGAACTTGGGCTATCCCAAAGTGACTGGAGAAGTCCTATTGTGCTGGTTCCAAAGTCAGATGACTCACTACATTTCTGTATAGACTTCAGAAAGGTGAACAGTTTCAGAATTTGATGTTTACCCCATGCCTTGGGTGGACGAACTTAGACTGGCTGGGAGAAGCCCAGGATAGCACCACTCTGGATTTAACAAAGGGATACTGGCAGATTTCCTTAACACCAGACTCACAGGAGAAGATTGCTTTTCTATGCCGAAAATGGGCAGAGATGACACTAAAAACCAGTGAATCCTGCAACTACACTCCCTCTCTTTTCCTTCCTTGCACAAATCCCAGGTGCCTCTCCATGAAAGTAAGGGAAACAAAATAGATATAGTTTTTTATGGTCTTATGGTGTGTAAAGTTAGTGTAAAGACTAATGTATATTTATAGCTCTGGAATGAACAGACAGAGCTAAACAGCATTAAAAAAATTCTACTCTCTCCTCAGAAAAATACTATGAAATAGAAATGGTTATAAATATGCTAGAAGTTTTTAAACTTTAAGCTTATGTTTTAAAAACATTTTTAAAGTTCTACTGACCTCTGTAGACACTAAATAAGAGCACAAAATTCTCACATCTGGAGAAGTAGATAGTTATTTATATGTATTTTCCCCCCTGTTCTCTATTTAATTTTGAATAAATTATTCGTTTTAAAGTTGTTGTGATGTTATAACTCTACACATGAATGATATAATTTGGTCTAAATATGATGGGACTACTTAGCTCATGGACAATGTAATAAACCTTAATTTAACCCAGCAATAGCCTGCTCTATTAACTTCTATATTTATATTAGTCATTTTGTTTTTATCAGTCAGTCAGTGCTGCTTTTTAATGCAGTAATTTTTTTTTGGAGGAATATTTACTTGTATTGAAAAACATGCTTGCATAATTTCCAGGAACAGATTCTTGCAACCACTTGTAGCTTCTTCACGAGTGACTGATCTATGTACTTACCGTAAGTAAAAGGATTTGAATTGTAAATTTCAGCTTGCAGGCTACTAAACCTCATTGACTCTAGCAGCACCTTGAAGACCCTGGGGAGGTTCCTTTAGTTTGGCATTTGAAACTGACACAAATAAAAGACTGAAGGCCAACAGACCTCATAAATCATAGCTACAGTGTCAATGCCAATCTAACAAAGGGACTAATAACACACAACTACTGCAAAAAATAAAGACAGCCAGGAAAAGATTTTATTTTAATAGCTGATATTCAGGATGGCTTACCTGAAGCAGACTCTTTCATCTCTTCCCCATTGCTTTAGGGGTACACAGTCCCTATTTTTCAGGCTGGTGAAATGGGAAGGTTGCCTAGATGCTGATGAAGAAAACGTGAATTTTGCCAGAAGAGATGAGCTTAACCAGACCCACAGCGAGGAAAAAGAGGAACAAGATGCTACCATGACCCTTGAGTTTAATGTCTCCCACCAGGATCCAGGATATCAATCCAAGGCTCACATGCAAGGTGCCCAGATCAAACTGATCACCACTTGGGAAGCTGGATGGAATGTTACCAATGCCATTCAGGTAAAATGCTTACCTATTTACATTAATCATAATTTTAAACACTTAGTCTGTTTTGTTTTGCTTTAACTATATCATCATATCACAACACTCAGAACGTTTTTGATTTCATCTCAGATGGTGGATTAATTTATTACTGACATATTTAAACTTTTTTTACATGAAACTCACACTTTAAAAACAGGGAACAAAGGTCAAAAGGGAGTCCTGGGGGAAGTAGGGACATTATCAAAAGAGAGAAAGATTCTGAAAATAATTAAACTAAGTGAAAATAAAGAGATGCTAACTGCTTCTGTAGGTTTGGAATTGCCTTTCCATGTGTACATTTGTATTCAGAGAAAATCACCAAGTTAAAGAAGGTGGAGATAAATCGGAGATACAATATGTAAATATCTCACAAAACCAGAGACGATGTAGTTTCATCCCAGGTCTAACTTAACTGATGACTATGAATTTGGACCAAAGAGAATAATAATAATAATAAAATAACTTTTTATTTGACATCAAATTTAAACTTGGTTCCATAATTTTCTTGATGGAAAAAGTGTTTTTTTCATATCCATAAATTTAGCTTAACATTGTTTTAAAAACTGCTTTTTCTCTCCCACCTCCTTTTCATTTGCGACATCATACAGTAGGAAGAAACAAATGTCTACAGACATATTTCACATTTAGCATTGTTTATACACTAATCAGTAGCTCACTTGCAAATTTTCATGACACCCTAAATATGAAAAGAAAAAAAAAGGTCTTCCACTGTTGTTTGAGACTTTGATAACTTTAATGGACATTTTCTTGTTCATCTTCTAACCCACCAATCTTTTTTGGGGGGAAAAACCCCAAAACATTGTCTATGTCTCAATGAAGTTTCCATGCTATATCTAATTTAAAATGAATACAAATACAATACAATTTAAGTCAAAGTAACAGCGTATTCTAAATGTTTTTAACTAAGAACATAGACTTGCAATCCTAATACAACAATGGAAATACATTTTGGTGACAAGTCAGTTCTTGCAGACTCTCAGCATGGTCTGTCAATCAGCACAATGGGCTGGGGGTGAAATCCTGGCCCCAGCACAGTCAATGGGAGTTTTGTCATTGACTTTAATGAAACCATTTCACTTTCAAAATCAAGGGACTTTGTTTCTAGACCCAGTTTTATCAATGCCTTGTTGTGTGACCTTTGGCAAGTCACTTAACTTCTCTTTGCCATTGTTTCCACATCTGAAAAATGTAGGTAATAATACCAGTCGCTCAAAGTGGTTTAAGACTCCTGGATCTATTTAAATACAATATTATAATACATATTATTAATTATTATAGATTCCAGTATAGAACTAGATATTTAGCAATACGGTAGCAATACTACTTGCATATGGCAGATTATTAAAAGATTTTTTTAAAAGGACAAAGTAGCTAATCAGTTCAGGAAGAAGGGCTTCATTCAGGGTCTAGCTACACTGCAGTAAATACCGGTGGCTAGCCCAGGTCAGCTCACTCAGGCTTGTGGATGGCGGGCCGGGGTAGGAGGGCTGTTCGGGCTGTAAGGCAATAAAATTGCAGTGTAGACATTTGGGCTTGGGCTGGTGCCCAGCTCTGAGACCCCACGAGGCAAGAGAGTCCCACATCTAGGTTCCAGCAGAAGTCTGAACATCTATATTGCAATTTTATAACCCCACAGCCCAAGCTCTGCAAGTCCGAGTCAGCTGACCCAGATGAGCTGTGGGTGTTTTGTTGCAGTATAGATATACCCTTAGTGTCTGCAGCTTTGAACCCTGCTACTTAGTCTTGCTTGGTCCAGTATTTTAAAACAGAACACAACAGCAACAGGGGGGCAAGCTACCATTTTTCTGTGTTTTGTTTATGGGGGAGCATGAAGGTGGCAAAGTGGGGAATAATTATTTATTTACTAATACGGTTGGAGTTTTCTAATGGATATATTGTATGTGGATAAGTGCAACAGAGCAGGTGTGCAATACATTTTGTGTTTTCTTTTACTTCTCTGAAGTATGGAAAAAACCCTTTATGTCTGGTTAGGGGAATACTATAAAATAGATATCTAAGGCAGAAAAAAATTGAGTTGGCACAGATCACTGAACATATAAGAATTTGAGGGAATTTCTATGCAAACCTTACAAGAGAAAAATCAGGAGTTATGAACAGATTGATTAAAGCAATCAGAATGCTCTTGACAGGTGGAAACAAGCTCTGTTAAAATGGGAATGACAGTTGTTTTTGCCTTACCCAGAGGAAAGGGCAACAGTGTTTTGCATGGCAATTAGAGATAAATGTTTAAGTTGAATTTGAAAACACTCTAAGCAGTTATTTCAGTGCACACAATTAATCCACAAATGAAATTATATTATAATCTGGAATTATTTTAAGGATAAGTAACTTTTTGGTCATTATGAAATTCAATAAAGGAGGCTTTTTTAGATTGTCTGCTTATTAAATAGTACTTATTTGCATTGGAAATGTTTAAGTTTTTTCCTTCAACTGAAGAATGTGAAATTTTGATGACAGCATTGTTTATGTAAATGATTGTTTCAGACATTTAAAGTTTCCAAGGAAACATGTTTAATATTCTTCCACTGTACATGCAAATGAAAACCTGTGTGCAGTTAAAACTACCTTTAAGAAAAGACATAACCCAAAATTATAAGATAAAAGGATGAAGAAAAGTATACTCTGACAGAGAGATTCAAGTTATACTTCTAGCTAGCAATAAAATAGCAAACTTTTACACTGGTTTTCACAGTAGTCTAGATTCTAACAATATGGTAGTACCAAAGTAGTCTTTACATACCAACAACATGGAAGAGGAGTGTATTCAGAAGAGATGACATGGTGCGCCAAAGAAAAAGAATGTCAAAATAAAAGTCCCACTAAGCCTACTGTGTCCTGAAGTAGTGCAAGCGGCCAGAAAACAGCTATTAGGAAGATGTAAAATAAAGTATCCCATCACTACTTTAATTTATAACCCAATTGAGATGGACTTCCCCAAAACTCTCAGCAGCACACACAAAGCTCAGGGCTGCAGAAAACTCATTTGTCCTACTAAAGAGTTTCAAAGTGCTTTCAATCGTGTGAAACTCACTCCTTTTTACATTTAAAATATAGTTGGGATGGGTTCCACCTGGAACTGGGGTATCACTGAGCCCTCTGACCCACCAGTCGGGGCTCCCTCTCACACGGTGTTGCCATGACAAGTTGCAAAGCCCTCCAAGCTTGCACTTTCACCAGCATTCACACGATAGGGACACACACAGATGCAGTCACTTGTAGCTCTCTAAGCACCAGCCTCAGACCAGTGTTCCCTCTAATTTTTCCCACTGATGTGTGGAATGAATTTTGTTATGTTCACCAATATGGAGGTGATGTGTGATGTGAG